CTGAAGTTACAAGGAGCCCTCTAATCCATGAAGTAATAAGAGACAAGACCCATAGAACTTAAAGGGTTGGAGGAATGAGAAAGAATCAACTTTTGTCTACTACTTATCTTTTCAATATCAAAACACTATTTGTAGAGTAACTTCTTCCTAATACAATGCTGTAGCTCATAACAGATTTTCCACGAAGTCCATGGATAGATTGCTCAAAAATGTGCAGAGGTCTTGGCGTTCAGCACTACATATAGCTCTGCCAGGAACTAAGTACCAACAGTGTCCATAAAGCTAAGCTTGTAATAGTAGAAACACCCAGTTGCATGTTTGTTGCCTTGCCAATGTCCTGTTAAGCTGGCATCTTTGAAGAATGCTTCAAAAAACAGATTCTTGTCTTTCAAATTGAAAAGTTGAAAAACTATTTTATTAGTCTGGGAGCTCTCCCCCCTACCATATATGTAGTGTAAAATTGTAACTAAAAAAGAAAAAGATATTCAAACTACTCTAAAAATTCCAGGGTCTAGACTGACTCTTTCCACAAGAGAATGGTTCACTTACGGTATGTTTAGACTAGAATATAAGATTTTTTTTTTTTGGGGGTGGGGGGGGGGGGGTGTTAAACCTTAGTGAAGGCAGGTTAGTTACTCAAACTGAACCTTCACCTTCCTTCCAGGTTTTATCTCAGTCATCCAGACCATGTGAAAATATAACTTATGCTATTTACACCAGGGTTTTAAAATGTTAGCTAAAACATATTAACTAATACACTGAAAAAGTAAAAACTCCAAGGTTTGACCATAATCTAGATATGCTTTTAAAAGCTCTTCATCTATTTGGGTCCTACTCAGGTTTCCAAAAGAAAAATGACAAGTATTTGGGTTCCCCAGCCAATTTTTTGTGATTATATATTTTCACATTTTTTTTAAAAGTTCTTCCACAGATTTGTAAAGGACCCATACAAATGACAAGAAAAACTATCAGCCTAATCCAAAACCCACTAAAGTCAATAGAATGATTCCCATTGACTTTCATAGGATTTATATAAGGCCCTATGATTCCTGATCTACAGCTGGCTCATGACTAGATGCTGTGTTTTTGGTTGTAGCCATGTTGGGCTAAGGACATAGGCAGACAAGGTTCTTTGAGTAGATGTGATATCTTTTATTAGACCCACTGAGTAGCTGGGAAAAAGTTCTTGAAGGGTGACTGCACCCAAAAGCTTACCAAGAACTTTTTTTCCAACTACACAGTGGGTCTAATAAAAGATATCACATCTACTCAAAGAACCTTGCCTCCTCATGATTAGATGGACACTTACACCATTGTGATGAAGATATGTGGGTCTAACTCATGTAGTCAGTTCCAGAACTGGAGTTTATTTGGCTACAAGAAACAGACTACATGAAAACTATTGTGTAAAGCATGAAGTAAGTCAACTGACAAAACAAAATAATTTATTTTCTAATCTCTCTGATGACAATCTTGCTTCTCTCTTAGATGATACTTGTAGTAACAGGTTAAAAAAAAAGTATGATTTCTAGAGAGCAGTGAGTAAAATTTTCAAAAACACCTAAGGGGACTTGGGAATTTAAGCCCCACATTCAAGTTATATAGACATGTAGAAGCTTGAGGCACAATGACTTTAGCTGAGACTTTATGCACCTATACATGTGCCTGACACCTGCTCCAACACATTCTAATTAGAATGCATTAGAGCAGACTCAATCGATTAATTGAGTCTAATTAGAACACTCCAGCAGCCTCAGCATCACATGTATTCAGTGTCCCTGGGTTTCAAAATGGTAGCAAGGGCGCTTTAAATAAAGCTTGTTGAACAAGCTTTAGTTAATGCATCTGTGCTGCCATTTTGAAGTGCAGAATGCTACATACATGAGACGCTGCAGCCATTTTAATTAGGGCAGCTCTTGAAATTAAAATGTCCCTCCCTGCACCCCAAACCATATGTAAAGACAAGCTTAGGTTCCAAACTGCTTAATATATAAACTGTTGAAAATGCCATTTAGTACCAGATTTTAAATATTTAGGTGAGTAAAGAGGCAGGATGGTACCTAGTAGGAATTTTCAGAAGCAGCTAAATATCTAAACTTCCAGTGATTTCAGATCCCACTAGGTACCTACTTGATTTTTTAGGTACATAAATGCCTTTTAAAATGTGTCCCTTTGAAAGTCTTACCCAATACTTTCCTTTAAGGAATTTTCATTAATGTCCCTGAAATGTCTCGCAAAACTTTCAGCATCAGAACCTGCTATGTATTTTTTAATTCTTATACTTTTGGAATGGATAACCATTTTTGTACCTTTTTATATTATTTTTTTTGGAGCAGTGAAAACAGTAATAAAAGTGAAATTGTAATCCCAATACTCTCAACATTAATTCTGCTTTAATAGAAATTTTGGCAGGGGAGGTGTACTGGGGACAAGGAAGGGAGAGGAAAAGAAGGGGAAAGAATGAAATGGGACAAATGATAACATCCATTTTAAAATTAAAATGTTTGTAGTTGATAGGTATGCTTCTCCAAGTACAAATGTGATGTACATACTCACATTGCCTTCCACAAGCTCTTCCAAAGAACACCCTCTGTGTGACTGCTGATATTTCTCTTGAAAAAGCTTTCCATCAAACACCTTCCAAGGCATGAAATCATCCATGCTGAATGGAAAGCCACAGGCACTATTCGCCATAATCAAAGTTGCAAGACCACGAATAAAGAGAGCGCCGAGCTGTACAGCTCTAGAGTCCACTTGCACAAGCTGTTGAAATAAAAAAAAACCACACAAAAAATTTAATATAGTATATTAGCCATATAATTTTGTTATATGTCACAAATGTTACCAAATGCAAGCCATCTCTGTACCACACAATAAGAATGTTTCCTAATCCCAACTCTAGGGGAATTCTGACATTGCTGCCTCATGTCCTCCTCCTAGCTGCTAACAATCTTTTGTAGCATTTATCATGATTTTCTGAATGATATACTGAGGTTTTTATTCATTAAAATGAAGGAAGTTGTTAACAGAAATCAGAGGTTAAGTCCCACATTCAAGTGTACACTTAAAACCAAAACTAACTCTGTGGAAGACCAAAGAAATAAGTAATGTTATTACATTCTGTATAATACTTCTCAAATGTTGGCAGTTGTCAAAAAGGGAATTCTTTCACTGGAATTCAAAACTTTAACTGAAGTGATGGGGTGATTCATTGACCTTCCATAATTTGATCAAATGGGAAATGTTACCACATTTGATGGATACCATACAAACTGTAAGATTTGATGTAACAAGGTTAACTATGCTCAAACTGTAGAAATATTTTAAACACTGCAAGACTTCCTCTGTCAGTAGTCCAAAGGCCAAATAACTTATTTTCAAAATGAATTTCTTCAGAAGAAATACTGGAATGGGGGAGACATCATCCAAAAAACACAAAGTGACCCTTAAACATCGCAGCCAGGATAAACTTGTTGGGAAGGTTTTAACCTCCTCCCATGGCAGTGTATGGGCAGTCATAAAAGACCTGGATCCAGCAAGGGAAAATTCCTCCAATTTGGCTATTTCCTAGGCAGTACAAGGCTGCCCTAAAAGGAATGCCTCCCCCCATAAACTCCAGCACAATAGTCTGCCAAGGTCAGGTAGGCTTCTCGGCAAGATGGCCATTGATACAGCAGTTTGTCAAGGCTGCCATAATTTAAAGCAGATGCTATGGCTGTATAACTTATACACATGGGCAAAATACAGACATTTGGGGGCATTATTCAATCTATTCAAAATGGCAAGGGGGGCAGGCAGGCAGGAGGACGGCTGGAGGGGCTGGGGCGGTACCCCCAGCCAACCTACACCCCCATCCCTTCTACCCCTCCCCCCAAGGGACTTACTTGCTTGGCTCCAGCAGCAGCAAACACTGATAAAAGCAGCTGCACCTGGAGCAGATTGTGTTATGGGGGTTGAGAGCACTGGCTGGGGGGAGGGCAAGGGGCTGTGGGGGCAAAAAACAGACCAGTGAGGCGGAAGGGGGAGTGAAAAGAGTAGCCCCTGGACTGGGGCCAGTGGCTGGGTTTTCCCAGCTCCAGGGCTGTGCAGGAGAAGTGGACAGAAGTTCAATGCACCAGTTTGACCTAAATTGAATGAGTCTGATACTACATAGATCCAGGTTTATCTTTAACCGGCTTCTGCAATCTTTAGACCAGTCTGTGTGCATGGAACTTCTGTTCAGTTACAGGTTTAGACTGATGCTGGTCATTGAGACTGGGTCCATCAGTGTAAGGGCTGGCACTGGGATGAGCTAAGTTTAAATCAGGAGGCCATTTTGAAAGGTGGATTAAAGTCATCTTTGTCCTTTGTCCTGTAAGGCTGTGAGCTCTTTGCTTTAAGTAAAAATAGAATCTCAACCATTACCACTACAAAATTGTAGTGTATTACATTTGTGTAGTGCCTAGCATCTTGAAGGCCCACAAACTATGTGCACATAGCACCTCTGTATGTGAAGACTGGTAGCTAATATAGTACAGCAGAAAAAACAGCTCTAGAGGGTCAACATTTTGGCCAAGGACAGAATAAAAATCAGAAACTAACAGAACCTTTATTGGCCACACAGAGCAATAAGACCTCAGTTTTTAGATCTAATTCAAAGGAGGCATGCACAGTAAGTACAGGGAACAGAAGGCATCTAGTTCTATAGGATCAAGGGCTTCTAGATAATTTAAACAAGTGTGGTAGGGGGTGGGGAGAGAGGCAAACTTCTTGGCAGGCATGCCACAAGGTAAGCCCTGCCCCTTCCCTAAGTGCTGCCATCCAATCCCCTTCCCCTGCCTGATTTCGCTGCTCTGCTGTCTGTTCCCTGCCCAATCTGCTATTCTGCTCTATTTGCTGGGTGCCAACACAGTGGCTGTGTCAGGTTTGACCTAGAAACCACTACACATAGCCCAAGCAAAAGTCTCTGTTCTGTAACTAATGCCCAACTGCAATGATAAGGAGAAGACAGTCTTAGATAAAGGAGGCTTGAAAACAAAAACAGAATTAGTGGACTAGGGCAAAGAACTGATTTAAATATTAAGATTCACACCCCTAGGTGGGGAGAAAGTATGCTAATGAAACATACATGTATGGAAATGAGATACATAGCTAAAACACAGGTATAGAGACATGCTCAGTAAAGAACTCCTTGCGTCACTCCCTTATAACCAATTAGCAAACAAGAATGCTTATGAAGGTCCAATACTCCTGTATAAAAGATGCTTAGAACTGAGAATCTGTGTGCTTGTTACGTGAAATTATTCCGCTTGCACCTTGTATTGCTAGCAATAAATCTTTATACTTTCACCCCTGGTATCTTTATTGGCTTTTGCATACCGGGCACGATCCCAGACTTGAGCTGGGGCTCAACAACTGCATATGCCACTTGTGGCATGTGTGCTGCAATTTGGCTACTCTGATTTATTCTGTTATCCCCCAAACTGAAGGATGCCACATCATATTCAATTGCATGAAGCTAGAGATAAGAACCCGTTCTAGAGATAAGAACTTGGAATATTTAGAACTCATGTAATCCGAGTGACAGGCTAAGGAAAGTATTTCAGTTTGCTGTAATTTTTTTGAATTTGATATAACAACTGTGTGCGCCACATCAACTTTAAAATGAAACCTCCTTGGTTCTGATTGTGAAATAAAATTCCACAAGGCAGCATACAGAAGAAAATCCAATATTGAATCTACAGTGCTCCATGTGAGGTAATCCTAATTCCAACTGGGAGATTTTTCTAGAATTCCCTCCCCAAAACTTTTAAATTCTGTAAGCATAATTATTTTGAATTCCAGTATGCTAAGGACTACATAAAGCAAGTACCCAATATCTGAGCTTTCAACAGAACGGGTAGGCCAAACTAAAATTAGCCAGACTCCAAGACCTACACAATGGCATATCATCCCCTAACAACCACATAGCCAAAATCTAGGAGACATGGCCTCACTACTGTTATTCTGCTGATTCTTGATTAGTTCAGAAAGCGCGCGCGAGAGAGAGAGAGAGATACAGTATATTCCAGACTGTATATTTTGAAGTGCCAATTACTATCTTTTCCAGCTGAATTCCCAGTGTGTGTTGCTGAAAACCAACTTTTGCAGACGCAAAGAATATAGCTTTCAAAAAACGTTCAAAGTAGAGCCAAGATAACCAGTAAAGCATTTTAACTTGCTGAACTCAAAAAGTGAACTCTTGTCATATGTAAGGAACTTAATATCCTCTTACTCAATAGATCTGCTCCATCTGTGTGCTCTCATTTGTATCTGCTGCATTTAAGGAGCAAAATATTAGGGAGTATTTTTGACTGCGTGTAAACTAGATTCCATTCTGGCCCATTACGGGAATTGAAATCTGGCACCTGGACCTTACAACTTCTGAAATGTGTGCTTGACTTGAAGCACGTGCCTTGTCCCACGGTCTTCAGTGGGAAAATTCATGTCAGTGAAATTTAAGCACATGCATAAGTGTTTGCAGAACTGGGGTCTGCATTTAGAAAGGGAGATCTTTATTTCTGCTGATGGTGCACAAGTCAGAAAATACATAACCTGACTTTGAAGTCATGGGCTGAGTTCTTAGCATTTGCTGCCAGAATAAAAATTGTCAGCTTACAATTCTATGTGCATATTAATTTTTAGGATAGAATCACGTGTTCTTAATCAAATGGCTGGGACATGTCTCCACTGTCAACAGTTTAAAAATTATGCCATAACACTATGAGTAGAAGTTTCATAGATTTCATAGACATCAGGGCTGGAAGGGACCTCAGAAGATCATCGAGTCCAGCCCCCCGCCCAAAGGGCAGGAAGTCAGCTGGGGTCATAGGATCCCAGCAAGATAAGCATCCAGTTTCATCTTGAAGGTGTTCAATGAAGGCGCTTGAACCACCTCCGGTAGCAGGCTGTTCCAGACCTTGGGGGCTCGGACAGTAAAGAAGTTCTTCCTTATGTCCAGCCTGAAACGATCTTGAAGTAGTTTGTGACCATTCGACCTCGTCATCCCTTGGGGCGCTCTGGTGAACAAACGTTCCCCCAGATGCTGGTGGTCACCCCTGATAAACTTGTAGGTGGCCATCAGATCACCCCTGAGCCTGCGCTTTTTCAGGCTAAAGAGCCCCAGGGCTCTCAGCCTGTCATCGTAGGGTCTGCTTCCCTGACCTCTGATCATGCGCGTGGCTCTTCTCTGGACTCTCTCAAGCTTCTCCACATCCTTTTTGAATTGTGGAGCCCAAAACTGGACACAGTACTCCAGCTCCGGCCTCACTAAGGCCGAGTACAGGGGGAGAATGACGTCCCGGGATTTGCTTGAGAAGCATCTATGGATGAAAGC